CCTGATGTGGGTTGAAAGAAATCCAAGGTGCCTCTTTCATCTGCTGTCTGTCAAGTCTTGGGTAAAATCATCAATCCAGAAAGTCTTGTGGTGACCTTCAAACCAGAGTCCTCCGGGGCAACACCCGCGCTAATTAAAGGTTTGCTCCAAATCTTTACTTGGTAATGCAGCTCCCAATACTTCTGGCTCAAGTATAAGCTTGATATGCTGCGATAGATCTCGGGGAGATGATAAATAATTCCATAACATATTTTCTGCTTTACTTCCAGTTATAGCTTTCGCATGTCAACTGATGAAAATTGGCATCATATTCTCTCTAGATATCTAGATGTCATAGCCTTTTAGAGTAAAGTACCAAATATTCTACTACAATTTAAGCTGGTAGAGACAAACATCAAAAGACTTGCAGCTGTAATTGGGAAGAAATGTGATTTTGCTAAGCATTGACTGGTGAGAGTTGAATGCAAAAGCAAAACCACACTTTTCAGACTCCACACTTTTCATACCATAATTTAAATCCATGTATCACATTTTTTGACTTCACAACTTTCTGTTGAAAGCAAAGTTTCAGGGATATGAATACTTTTGCCAGGCTCCTTATATCTAGACCAGAAGGGTTGCATGTGTCATCATGCTCTGAAGATAAAATTGTGAGACTGGGGCAGTAGAAGCTCTGGATAAGGCCATGTCACAAGCTCTGCTAAAAGGATTTCCTGCCACATTCCTGGGGCTTACCTAAACTTTGAAGTCAGCCATGGCAGTATAATATAGCATGTGCTCATAAAATAGGACGCCATGCACACGGTCCCATCAGAAAGCAATCTGGTTTGTTCACGCCGAGAATGTTGCACTACTTCTTCCGCCATCTGTGCAGTGTACTTCCAAATTATATTTTCATTATGCAAGATGTCAGAGTGTGTTAGTGTCTCTTAAATTATCAATGTGCAGTTCCTAGAAAATATTACTTGCAGCTACAATATTATATCTCTAGCAAGTCCTGCTGTGATTGGAGTTATGCAAGTAGTACGCAATCCAAATAGGATTGGAATTGTCAGCATGTAGAATTGTGTGTGTACAGAATGAGTAAAAGAACTGTGTGCCTTACAAATTAAAATGACTAATGCAGGATTTAATTCTGTTCTCTTCCAATTCATTAAAAAGTAAAGATAAATTCTAAACTAGTGGTAATTTATTGATTGATTGATTGATTTTTTTTTTTAAATTTGGAACTCCAAAGCACAAAAAACACAAAGATGATAAAAAAATAGAAAATTATTTAAGGATGTGTAGCTTAGGTAGCACTAAATTGCTTGAATAATTACATTTTGTTTCAGGGATAACATCCATTTAGTTTGGATATACTTTAATACTTTATCTTTTTTTTTAAGCAATAAAAACCCATCACAAAAAGTTCGAATTTTTATTTTTTTTCTTTTTGTATCAGTGATTCTTAACAGTAGATCTTAATACGGCTTGTAAGCCTATTTACTTCCGTTTATAGAGGTGCCACATTCGTAAGGAACATTCACTTTTTGGTTGAGCAGTTGAGTATGTAGCATGCACCAACCCTCTCTGCTGAAGCCACAATGGAGGCAGTGTTGGTCATCACTGTAGGCGATCGACGTAAGAAAGACCCGCCTGTTGTCCAGACATCAACACCTTTGATCACTTGTGGAATCAGGTGGGGATGCAGTTCATGCCAGTGATCACCACAGCCAAATTCGCTGACTCAAAACTAATGTTGGTTGAGGAATTGGATTCTGCTGTCCCACAGCAGTGTGTGATCAAGATGATCAGTATGAGAATGAGGTGCCAGGTGATTGTAGCTGAGCGTGATTCTCTCACATTCCAGCTGAGTCCCTTGTTTGTTAAAGAATTGAATTGTTCTAGATTTGCTTTATGACAGTAAAGGTTTTCACAGGCTTTACACATTTTTTTGTATTGTATGTGTCACTCTATTGGGGCTTTTCTGTCAAGTACCCCAAATTCTGCCCCTCTCTCCCCTCATTCTACACACACTGCACATTGATAATTTAAAATGTAGAATCTTGTTTGAAGCTTTTGCAGCAGAGTGTTGTTGGCCGTCTTTACCGGTCATTTATTTCAACACATGGCGACTCAAGATCTGATTCCTTTACTGACCATAATTAAAAGATATCCAGCCCAAAGCACACACACTTTGTAAAAATAGCTGAACGCAGACTTATTTGGTGACATGCTGTCAGACTTTGGTGAGAAAGTCTGACAGAAAGTCTGACAGAGAGATCTCACTGAACCCAATACAGCCGCCACATAACACACAGAGGAACAACAACAAGTACGCCTACATGTACAACACCAATCATTTGAGTTTAAGGTTTGCTATAAGTCTGGTCTGGCTCTTGTGTGACAGTTGTTTTTTTTTTTTCCAAAGTTCATATTTGAGATACATTAAACCAAACAGAAAGGATTTCTCTTTAACAGAGACTTTGATTTCATTTCTGTTGCTTTATATCTTACTCTTCTTTAATAGCCATTTCATTTGATCTGTTCTAATGTCCTCAGTCTTCAAAACTGGCTTTTGGCTAAGCCTCTTTATAGTGTATAGAGAGATCAGAGCTCTTGGCTCTTGGAGATCAATAGTGTGTAATACTTTCTGTGCGGCATAACTGATTGTGTTTCTCGTAGTCTCTTTGGAAGTTTGACTTTCTAGATGATAAACTTATTTTGAAAAACAGAGGAATGTCTGCAACATTTATTTTAAAGAATCTTTTCTGTGAAAAGATTCTTTAGAGATGTCTTGAATTTAACATAGAGTATGTTGAAATGTTGCTTGTCACTAAATAAATCAGAAAATACAATTACTGAAAATGAATTATGTATAAGTGAATCTGCTTTTGAGGTCAATTAGAAATTTGGGACTATGAAGCAGCAAGCAGCATCTGTGTCCGTATTGCTTTTCAGAGCCAGTTATTTTCCACATACAAATGAAAAATAACTTGACTGTTGCAGAACTTCTCTATGCTAACTTTAGCTTCAGTCCTCACTTAGACTCATATTTAAATGCTAAGTGTTTTACAATCATGCCTATTAATCTTGTACAACTCTACTTTTCCTGTTGCAAAGTCATTTTATTAATGACAAGTAACATCCACTTCCCCTATCGGATATTGCATTAATCTGCCCTGTAGAGTCAGAAGTGAGTCTCCAGGTTGGGTGGGAGCCAGGATCAGTGCCAGAAAGTTTGAGGTCAGGGCCAGGGCTCGTACAAGACAAATTATCACCCATATTTTTAGCTGTCGATAGTACACTGACCTTGTTGCATCTCTTTAGTGATCACATCAGTCTCCTTTTATGGCTCAATTAAAATGGCGTTTTAAATTATTCCTTTATCAGGGGTTTGTTGGTTCCTCATGCCTTTGTTGTGAAGTAGGGAAGAGTGAAAACAGAGTGTCTCTTATCAATTTCAGCCCCACTGTCTTTATGCACTGCATTAAAAAAACCTTATGCTGACAGTCAAGAGTCGTTTTATTCTTAAATAATCACATTAAAGTTGTCAAATGACTAATTAATCTCTTGCTATATACATAGTTTCCAGTACAACTAGATACTATAGGGCAGTGGTTCTTAACCTGGGTTCGATCGAACCCCAGGGGTTCGATGAGTCAGTCTCAGGGGTTTGGCGGAGTAAAGACACACTTGTGTAAAGTTGTGATGACACACCCTGCTTGGCCATCACTTGCTGCAGAGGATCACGTGACATTGTTTGGCCAATCAGTGCTGCGAGGAACTTAGTGCACGCAGTATTCAACGGCTGCCATAGTTGTATGTCTTGTGGTTTCTTTCTCAATATTTTAATCCATACTAAACATGTCAAGCAAAAAAATAAAGTGGTCGGACAAATATGTACAACATGGATTCACATGTATCACGGAACGGGATGGGAGTCAGCGTCCAAATCTGCATGATATGCAACGCCAAGTTGAAAAAGAAAAATCATATTTTATTTATCACTAAAGAAGGGTTCAGTGAATGCGCCTATGAAACTGGTGGGTTCAGAAAAGGTTAAGAACCACTGCTATATGGTGATAGTAGAGTGCCAGATTTGCACAAACAAGCCTCTATAATTATCCGATGTCTTTTTGATGCCTCTAACCATTGATGAAACCGGCCAGCCTGTTTTCATTTGTCATCAAACTCTGTGATGCCTCCAAAAGGAGCTATCCTAGTGGGCTCAAATTGGGCAAGGACAGCAGAGATTAAAGATAGCCTATAATGAGGTTTCTCCCTCAGGAATCAATGTGTAGCTTTGTCCCAGGGGCCTCTGAAGGTTGAGTTTAAAAGCAACCCACTACCGGGTCGCAGCCTGAATACACAGCCCATCTATCACTTTGTGATCAGAAAGCGAAGTTTATACCGAAGCCAAGACTTTCCAATGCTATTCGGTAAACTATCTCAGTCTGAATGATAAAAAATAATAATAATAAATCAGCCATGTATTTGTCATGCTGCGTAATCTGCTGGCATAGTGCAGAACAGCCTTAAGCATTGCTCTGCATAATCAGCTTGCTCCTTAGGAATCAGATGACTTTGTGTCTAGGAGAGATAATGTGGAAAATGATGATCAGCTAAAGCACACCGACCTTGCGTTTTGCGTTTAATTGATACAAAACTGAATCAAGGATAACTCTTTCTTGTCCTTAATAGTTTGACGCAAAGAGGTACAAATCCAGCGCCTTTCTCATGTTCTGCAACATTTATTTTACAACTGACCTTTATGCTGTAATTCAAGAACCCCTTTGTAAAAGTAATTATTGCCAAGGCCTAATGGAGCAACTTTTGCAGAAGTTGTAGAGTCTAAGCCTTGATTGGTGTGCAAATGGATAATAATTTCAAATGCAAATATTTACATTTTTAACTAGATGGTGGAAGATTGAGCAAGTCTGCACGAGATGTTTTAATTAGATTTTCCTTATCAGTAAAATGAGATGTCTCATTTATATTCTGTGCTTTCTCTGCAGTTCGTCTGCTCTGAGGCCAGGCAGCTGTGTGGGACACTGGGTCTGGATCCTGCTGGCCATGACTCACCTCACCTTGGACTTCTCTGTGTGCAGCCCTCTCAGCCCAGGCTTGGGGATCAAGCTCACACCTAAATTGGTTGCTCGCTCCTGGCCTCGGTTGCAACCTCTCTGGGATATGCCCAACAAGCTTCACTGGAGGACAGTGGGCCCATTGGCACGTCGTCTCCTCCACCCCGTTCCTCCACCTCAAGAGAACAGGGCAGGGATGGGGCTAAAATCCAAAGGTCAAATGCACCGGAAGTTAGCACATAGAGGACAAGCGGCATGTAAGGATTGCTGGTCCAAATACTCTCAAACAGAGCCGAGTGATCCTTTGGCTGGGACAGTAGAAACTCCAGTGGCATCAAGAGGAAAGTTGTTAATTAGAGCCAGGAGGCAACTCAAAGGTAACAGCTATAACAAGCTTCAGGAGGGCCCAAATGCTACGGTGAATACTAAGGGGACTACTACGGTGCCTAGTTTCATAGACTGGGGACCCACAGGGACAGATAGCAATGATGATGACAGCAAAGGAGAAATCAATGAAAAGCTATCCACCAGGGCCTCACCCATCACAGTGGCATCAACTACTAGCACTACTTCAAGGGTCTCCGAAAGGACGTTCACTGTGGTGACCTCAACACAATCCAAGAGTACCACAAAGTCCTCTATCAGCAAACCAGAGGCTGCCAAACCACCAAAGCCATACGGGGACACACCAGGTAAGACAAAACGACTGTAAAACAAACGGTTTAGTGTGGATTTTATGGGGGTTTTAACTTCAGCCCTCGAGGGACAGTTCCTTCCAACTTTTACTGTAGATGTGTCACTGCTTTAACAAACCTGTCTCAAATAAGGCCATTAGAAAGACTCTGTTAAACTTTATATGGTGAGGAAGTAATTAAAGTATTTGGTTCAGGTGTGTTGGAGCGGTAACACCTCTAATTGTTGCAGGACACCGGCACTTGAGGACGAGAGCTGAAGACGCCTGGATTAAATCATAAATCTAAAAAGCTCATGAAATGGCAGTGGCAACAATATTAACAAAACCCTATACATTAGTGGAAAGAACGGGTGGCGTAGAGGACACTGTCCTTTTCTTAGTTCAAATATGTCCATAATATTCTGAGTGAATGCTAATTTTAAGAGTTTCAAGCTACCTACATTCACGTTGACAGTCACTCGGATGCTGTTTCTGAGAGCAAAATATGCCCATAGCTGTTTGCATCACACCTGTAACCTCAATGTAACTGAAGCCACCACTGTATGTTGTTTTAGTATCTTTTATCAAAACTGTTGCGAGTTGGTGAGACACAGCAATCTATAGGACTTGATTTAATTGCAATTTTGTTGCTGTTAACATTCCTATCCTGGTTAGTCAAAATGACCAGTAAGCAGTGAATTGTATCAAACTCACCAGATTAAAGAGGGTTGGACTAATGCTAATCTTTCCTTGCCTTAGAAATTATGCAGTGATAATTAACAGAGACAGTGTGAACCTGTTGGGCTCGAGGGAAGGATTATATTCCTCTGGATAGAGGAGCAGAAGGAAAAAGTTTGTATGCCCACTTTTCAAAATGGAAGAGTGTGGGCGTTACATGATGCAACGATTAGAGCGGGCATCTCTTACACAGATTTCAATGCGTCTGCCCCAAGTTTGAGTCCCATCCTCGGTTCCTTTGCCACATGTCCTCCCACTTCTCTCTGCTCTCCTGCTGTCAGATTACAGTCGAATGAAGTGTGGATGTCCCGTGCGTCCCATTATTTATGCGCCATTTTTCGGGTTCACAAACCAATATGTGTAGGCACTTGATAAATTGAATTAAAGAATAAAAATTATGATGATAAAGTATGTGTAAGCAATATTAAAAGTTTTTACAAAAAAATGCATAAGCCAGGATTCAACACCACCAGTCTGGTCCAGTCTTCCCTTATGGTCTCTGAGGCTGAAAGTTTGGTAACCACAACTGTACACAAACAAAAGAGAAGAAAAGTATTCTGCTGCCCATCTGCTGAGTTTCTGGCTTTGCTTCTTTGTTGCCCTTCCTGTCACAAGGCTGTTGTCCAGAAGTCTTCATCTCACTGTGTGGGTAGATATACTCACACCCACATTGTGCCAATGCCACCTAGGCTGTGCACTGGTGTCAACTTGACTCTATTGCCCACTTCTTAGTAGGAGGCCATCTTGGCACTTGCTTGACACTGGATGTCTTGAAGCCATCAAGAAAGTATAAAGCATGTTTCTGTCATAATGCATACGCTTCAAACATTCTTTGCTGTGGCTTATTTCCCATTTAATCTGTTTAACAATGTAAGTGGAAGATTTGTGTAAAATAAAAAAAAAAACACAAATCAAAAAAGAAAGCTGCAAATGAGCAAAATTCCAACTACAAACTTCAGCCATTACTGTAGTCCTATTTTGAAAGTATAACAGTTTTTGTCATTATATGTAGAAACACAAAATTAAATGGTTGGGATGCATTTGTGTGGGTGAAGAGGTGTGAAAGAATTTACATCGGGAACTCTTGAAACTCCTGACAGACAGTTGAAAAGACAGACTTACCAACATTTTTTGTAGAATTACGAATGCAAAGTTTTGGAAAAGAAAAGAAAATAGCAAGAACAAAAAGTTTTGTTCTTATGAGAAAACAGGCTGCAAGAGAAATTCTTAGCATTTGCACAGCACCTTTCAGTATTGTTCTCAATCATAGCTCATATTTTCCAAGAACTCTGAAATGAATAAGACTATGTTCAATAGACAAGTGTGAATAAAGGGAAAAGCTCCTGTAAAGTAAGATTTTCAGGATGAACATCCTGTGCTTCACATGGAAAGGATTTGCCGTATTCTCTGGCAAAGGTCTGATCCAGTTTGCTTTGTTCATGCCTGAGATTCAATCAGGTAGGTAGGAAGATGCACACAGGCTCATGTTGGCAGTAGTGCCAGAGGGGGAGCACACTTTTCTACTTATATTTATGTTTTTGTTTGTTTTTTTGTTTATTTTAAATGGCATATCCATTCTGCATATATTATCTTTGCTGATGATTTCAGTTTATTTATATTTAGTATAATAAAGATAATTGGTATCCACACATTGAGGTCTACGTTCAGGCACAGAGTCCATCTATATCTGTCTGTCTAGATGAATAGCCACAAAACATGCTACAAACATTATATTTTGCTGTCATAAAAATCATCAAAAATAATCTTCAGCGCAGCTTTTAAGCACATGACACAGTCTGTGTGAGCATGTAGAGTAAAGAAAAAACAAACCGAAGAGCAGAATTCAAACACACAGGATTTTGCAATGAACATGGACATTAATGTTTTCTATGGTTTATCGCCAGTCATGTGCATGTTAATATAAAAGATGCACAAAACTGATAAGCTGTTGTTGACTTTAAATTATAAATGCAACATTTTTAAAAACAAGTTTTTTTAAGTTAATTTATGGTGAAGCTTAACACTTGCTGCATTTCATATGGAAGCTTGCTGTAGTTGCTCTCTTATATACAGCGCCCTTGATTACAGTAAATGCTTGAAATACTGCACATGGCCATGGGCGACATTTATGGGCATCCCTCTGAGCAGAGGCAACCCTCAACAGAAAACCTCTCAACCTGACGTTTCTGAATTAATGTTTCATTACATTTATGAGGTACACGACTTCTTCATAGATGTAATGGTACATAAGTTATGTTCAACATCTTATCACACAAACTGGGCTAATTGAACATTTCCAGCAAGGTGCAATAGCAGATGTGTTGTAAAACTGGCCACTGAGCAGTAATGGTAGCTAAAGTCTTCTTTTTTTCTGTTGCTATTGCATTGATGCTTGTGAACATGTGAAGAATCAGCAAGGGAATATATGATTTGTTATGAAATCTAACTTTATGAAAACAGCTTTAATGCTAGACGCATAAATATGTATCCCATGACTGTGATTGAGCTGTGCATAATGAATGCAAAATGGCAGTAGTTAATGGTCTTGTCAGCTCTGTTGCGATCTCTTGATTTTCCCCTGATTGGGAGGTTAGTGTGAGGCCACCTGTGATTCAAATGATGGCTTGATATTGTATCCAGGAGGAAATTAGTTAACACGGCTTCCTGAAAGCTGACAGAGGAAGAAAGTAATTTTTCTCTTTCCAAGAGGGTGCACATCATTGTTCCTGTAAGATCTCAGTTTCTCTGTAGGGCTTGTTTCAGAAATGAAAGATTGTCTGTAGAGGACTTTGTCTTCACAACATATTATCTCATGTTTGTGTCAGATATGAAGGAAAGTCATTCACCTAATTTTTTTTGTATCATTTGACCACTTTTTTGGAAACATAATATTTTTGATTCATTGATTTGCATTTAATCAGAATACCGTACTTACAATTTTCATTTGGAAAACTCCCACAATGAACATTTTATTACTTAAATAATTTTATTCATATCTTTGTTCTTTCAACTCGTAAAGGGAGCTTTGAGGTGAGGTGGGTGAGTAGTTGGAGGTTTTTCAGCAAAAACGTGTGAAAAAAAAAGAAATGTATGTAGCCACTGTTAGCAACTCTTGCATTGTGTATGAGGTAAAAATGCAAGAGATATTATTGTAAGACCTGCCCATTCATTTATTGATTTCATTACCTGAGTTACTGTAATTTTTTATCATTTCATTCTTTGATACTAAAATCTAGTAGTTTACGTACAGGTACTTTGTTTCAGTACTTTTTTTTTACTTTGGAGTGGAGCTAAGGTGGGTTTGATTTATTCTAATATAGATATACCTAGTGATACCAATATTTTCTAATCAAAAACTTTTATCCTTAAGCATTTAGTTTTCTTTTTGGTCTTGTTTCATGTGAGCTGAAATCAGTACACTCCAGGGTCTACCGTGTAGTGTTTTGTGCAGTCATATTTATATCGTTAAGGTTAACAAATGCGTGAGTGTTGTCAGGATGGTACATGCCAACACTTGTTTTTTCTAAAACTTCTTGAGGAGATAAGATATAGTAAAATCTCACAATTTCCTGGTAATTGTTGTAACTTTCTGCAGTGAATGGTCATTAATTATTTAGTTGAAGAGGCAACATTACACTGAACTTGTTTGATTAAATGGCTCCAAACAACTCAATAAATTAGGAGAGAGTTTTAGGTAAATGAAGTCTTAAACAAATGAAACTGACACATTTGTTTTCACAACTTTTATTAGTAATTAGCTTACTTAGTACAGTTAGCATTGCTAGCTGCAGATTGCTACATTGCCTTTGAGTCTTCCAATAGGAAGTGTCTCTAAATCCTGCTTCTTTTATGACAAATAGTGTTAGAAGGCTCAACTTGACTAAATAAATCAACTTGTGGTAGTCCAGTTAGCCTTCCTGTTGTCAGCTAATGCTCCCGGTCTCTTCTCTGTATATGACTCTGTATTCAGGGATCAGCTCTTTATATTTGTTTTCCCCAATACTCTGAATATTTACCCAAAGAACATCAGAAATAACAGTTTTTATTCTCTCTTCACTGAATGTTCATTTCACAATAAAGTAATGCTAACCAACAGATTGTCCAATGGTTTTAGACACCATCAATCCTGTAATCCTGTAAATGGCCACATATTTATGTGTTTGTCTTCATTTGTGTGCTGCACCAGTATTACCTAAATATACTGTGATTTCAAAAAAGCAAATCCATAAAATTACGGCATGGTTAAAAACTTGTGTGCACCTAACTCTTGTGCAGGTGCGT